ATTGGTTAGAATCCTGACTGAATCAAGTCATAAATAAAATAGAATGAGGAAACCTAGAGAATTCTATCTGGGATTAGATTTGGGGTTTTGTGCTAGAGTTAGAAAAACTGTCCTCAAAACCCTGAAAAATATTAGAATCATGTAGCGATGGTTTCTCCAACGGCTCAGTTTCCACCTGAAATGCAGGAGACACAGAGATGCGGGTTCGATCCCCGGGTCAGGAAGATCCCCTGTAGAAGGATATGGCAACCCACTTCAGTATTCTTGCCTGGGAAATCCCAAGGACAGAGGAGCCTGGTGGGCGACAGTCCATGGGGTCACGAAGAGGTGGACAAAACTCAGCACACACATACACAGTGATACATTAAAGATAAGAAACGCTTCAGTACCAGCACAGACCTACAGAATCAGGATCTCTGAGGATGGGGCCTCCTCATGGTTATGCTCAACCTTGTTATTTAGTATCTAATAACCCTGGTTATTTTGCTGCTCCTCCCAGCTAAAGACCTGGGAAGGTCTTCAGGGCTGGAGGAAGCGAAATCTGAGGTTAGCAGGTGAGTACATGGACATGTGAGAAGAGTATTACAGACCAACAGCCTCTGTGCTCTGCACTTGCCAATCAGAATTTGACTTTGCATGGAGAAATAATGACCCTTCTAAAAACAAGCCTGAAAGGAAGAGAAGTCATCTTTGGTGGAGGAAATGGGAGGATTACCGAGTCCTAAACTAGAGCCCAAGAAATCTCAAATGCCCAGAGGCGTCACAGGAGCAAAGCATCCAGGTGGAACAGACAACAAGGTGTAGGCAGGGCTGTCAAAATGAAGAGGTCCACCTGGACCCAAGGGGCAGCCTTCTGATCCAGGAGGGTGGGGACCAGGTGGCATGTGGGTCCAGACCTTTCATTTTCCAAGAGAAATCAAAATCCTCCAACATTTAAATGGGGCAACTCATATTAAAAATACATACCTGCCTATATACAGTCTGTATGTGTCAAGACAGTGCAGCATAGTCATAATACAGTCTGGGGTGGGGACTTCCCTTGTGGTCCAGTGGCTAAGACTCCATGCTCCCAATGCAAGGGCCTGGATTGGATCCTCGGTTCGATCCTTGGTCAGGGAACTAGATCCCACATGCTCCAACTAAAGATCTTGCATGCTGCAGCTAAGACCCAGTGCAGCCAAATAAATAAATATTAAAAAATAAAAACACAGTCTGGGGCAATGTAAGCCCAATTTTTGAAATCACACCCAAGACAGACATTCATATGAAAAAACAGTCTATGAGGTACAAAGATCCTTTTGTGAAGATGGCTAAAAACCAAAGCTCAAACCTCAGCAAGGGGTGGGAATCTTATGCCACATGTTCTGATTACATTTTCTCTCTCTTTCTATCTCTCTCTCTTTTTCCCAAGATCTCTGATCTCAGAAATCAAAAGTATTGATGATTCTCACAGGTTATATTTTTATGGTGTCCCAGAACACAGAGGTGACTAAATCTACAATGCAGCATCACCCGGCTATAGGACAGCCTGACATTAATGACTCCAAAAAAAGTTTATTCTAATTTCCCAAGTTCATCCCAGTTCACGGCTTAACAATACCTACATATAGCAGGTTCGCTTGCTTTGCTGGGCTGAGTACATCTGCCGAACGAGTTTGCAGTCAGATTGCTAATTTATAAGACTAGCCTTAATGAAAATGCATAATTTCATACAAAAGTTACTATCACCCCCCACTTAGTGGGTCTCTAGCCAGGTGTCCAGTAAGCAATGGCTGCTGTTTCTAACTGGTCCATAGATGGGGATGACTCAGTTGCACAAAAGCTCATTCCAAATCAAGAAGGGAACTATGATCAAAGAGGAGAACCAGCCTGTTTCCTTCTGAGGAAGGTGAAGTTAATAGTCTTACAATGATCAACTTTCTAATTTGGGTCTTACTACTCATACTCTCACATCAAAGAAAATAAAAGTAGGCAAGTACATTTGAGTTATTTGCTCCTGATTAAGACTGAATGGAAGATACTCAATTGGTGTTAGGAATCCAATTACATACAAAGCAAAATATACAGTACTTTATTTCATTTTTGTTTATTTATTCATTTTATCTATTTCATTTCAAAGCAAAGGTCTTCCAGGAAATGAAAGGAAATGAAAGGACTTATTAAGTAGTTAAATGCTGTTTTCCCACTTTTGTAAATAGATGCAAGCACATAGCAAAAAGAATACACTACTGTCCATTAAGGTACTTACAGTGATTCGGCAAATAATTTTTTGGTTAACAAGCTATACATGTTATTACCTTTATATTGTTACTTTTCATCATAAGTCAATAAGTTTTTAGTACCTATTACAAAACATGTGCTCATTTAAGGGACTTTTGGAACCCAAGATAATTTACCAAAAGGCACTTAACTCATTAGGGGTTTTCAAGTGGGGGATTTCCTTATTCAGGTTTTTGATCATCTCTTAGAAAGTGATTACTCCTTAGCAGTTGTGGTATACTGCTAGTAGCCTTCAGAGAGGTTCCTTTGAAATGCGGACATGTCCACTCTTAGGAACTATTTAGAAGTAAATTACTTGTTTAGTGTTCCAAAGAAACTTACTTACAGACAACATCAAAATCCGGAGTCCTCTTTGCCTCTATCTCACTTTTCTCCTTCTATAAACTCAATGCAAGAGTAAAAACTGTTTTGCTAAATTAAACTCTAGTTTTGCCACTAAGGGTGGTAATTGTATTATGGAGCTGGACAATAAAAGAGTTTTCATTCATCTAATTGAAGCTAGCAGTGAAGGTCCTGAGGATCTTCATATATCAATTTCATTTTTGCCTCCCAATCTTGCCATCTTTTATCAATGTGTGTTTTTACATCCTGGTTGTTAATGTTTTAAATTACATTTCATAATATTTTTTTATTCAAAAGAATTTTCAAATCTACCATGAGATAAGGAAAACCTGCTAAAAACAACAACAAACAGAAACATACCACAACCTATTTCTTGCTTCTTAGCCTGGTTTATGGAAAAATTATTAAATTACAAATTAAACAACTGTCCTTTATTTTCTTCTCAAAGCTCTCCTATATGATTACTTTAAATACACCGGTTTCTTTTTCAGCTGCCCTCTCCTTTCCCTTGCCCATAATTTTGAAAACTGAATCAAGAAATAAAAGGACAGGAAAACAAGAAATGAAAACAAGAAATAAAGGACAGGAAAATGGCTATCTAGTAATTGCCTAACCGTAGACCTAAATACTACAAAACAAAAGCTATCAGAACTATGTGCTATTAAAAGAAGCAGCAGCAGTGCTCACAGCTATTTCTCACACAAATTTCTAAAGTAACTTTGCCTTTTCTTCTGTATCTGAACGATGCCCAGAAACTAAGAGAGAGAAAGCTAACTTCAAGAGGGAAGAAAGATGGAAAGAGAAGCAAAGAGGTAAAGGGTGGGCTATTTGCTGATGACAGATCACACTAGAGATGAGAGGACTAGAGAAACAAAGAGGAAAAAAGAAAGCCTGGCTGCTCCCTCCCATCCGCTTACAGTCCACTGACATGGCTGAACTAAATTTGCTTCTGTGTTCCATGCAGTTAGCACTCACGCCTCGATTTAATTGGTTTAATTTATTTGCGACTAGTAAATAAGCCCCACTAAGTGCTAAGTCATAAAAGCAAGCATTTTCTGGAGACACACAAGGTGACAGAATAGTGTGGAAACTTCTTTAAGAACAAAGGCGTGATGCTGGGCCCCTGATGGGGGCAGGGCAGGATTCTGTGTAACTAAACCCAAGAAAAGGGAAATAGAGGATATACTATAAAGTGTAAACAGGACTATCTAGGTGATACAGTTATACCAGATTTTTTCCTTTCTACACATCTGTATTAACACATTTTATTCAATAAACATTCACTTCTGAGGCTCTATATCATATAACAATAATAAATGAATGTTTTATATCATAGATATAATAATATGCATATACAAATAAATGTAAGTCTGTATTTGCACATATGTGTGTATGAATACGTGTGCATTCTTTCAGAAAAGCAGTTCGTGGTGCTTTAAACAGGTACCCCTGGTAGAGACTCTATAGTATTATTATAAAAGTAAAATGTAGCTCTGGGCTTTGATAATTTTGCTATACTTGTTAGAATTGTTGTTCCAAGACCTAAGAGATTGTCAAAGCAACCAAGACTGCAATAAGGCAGTGGTTCTTGACAAGGAAGAATGTGATCTGAGGTTGTATAAATGGTTTCCCAACTTTGAATCTCAAGTTTTCTCAAAGAAAATTTCTAAAGGAGCCCAACCATCGTACATTACCTCCAAAAGGACCAGGGAGAATTTTTTTTCCAACCATAAGACGGCTCCAGACATCGATTTTTTTTTCCCCCCCAACTCTTGGTGTCCTCTGGACATAAGTGTGGTCGATACCCCCATTCCCACCCCCCCAGGCTTTGGAATGGGATCTAAATTGGATTTAAATTCAGTCCTGCCTCTTACTGTTTGGACTCGACTTACGTAAGCTGTCTGAACCCCATTTTGCCATATGTAAGATGGAGATACTGCGCAGCTGCTGCAAGAAATGACTGAGATCATACTCATAAACATTCCTATCACACTGCCTAACATCGATGAGTCCCAGTAAGTAAGAATCCACTGGTTTTCAGAGAGTTCGGAACCCACATGAACCCCTTGAGGCCAGAGTCTTCGATCACCATCACCAAGCCGGGATATCTGAGGTAGGGACTCTCCAAAAGAGGTGGATGCGGCTTAGGCTTCTAGGCCAAGTTCAGGCTGCTCAGCGCGTGCGCGGTGGCAGCAGGTACCACCGCCTGAGCAACGGGGCCCGGGTTAGCTCCCGTCCAGCAAACAACGAAAGATTTAAAAATAAAAATTAAAAAAACGGAAGAGAGAGAGAGGGGAAAAAAAAAAAAGGGCAAACCTGAGATAGTGACTCACCCTCTCAAGGAGAGGGATTCCCGGAAGGGAAACAAAACAGTTTCTTTTTCTGTGTAGCGACAAAAAGGTAAACAAGTCTCTTTAAGGCGCATTCAGCCCCAAGATAACGTTTTCAAGAAAGAAACGGTGCGGTCCAAAGCCTCTAGTGTAACCACTGCCTCGAGGCTGATTTATTCCCTAAAGTTGGGAAGTGTTGGAAAAACTTGTATTCTCAATTTCGAGAGTGCAAGTTCTCACCGCCCCGGGGGGCATATGTTCATAGCACAGCCTTAGCGAGACTTGCAAGGACTTGTCCAGAAGACCCTTTCCTGCCTCAGACGGGGCTCTCCCTGCAGCGACCCCCCAAACCTCCCCGGCGCCGGCCAGCCCCCCCACGCCCAATCCCTCGGCGCCGCAAACCGCGTTCCCAGGGATGTTCCGCCTGCCTCGCGGGCTCGCAGCTTCGCATCCAGCCCCAAGAAAAACGAGTAGCCTGGTTTCCTGAGATCTCGCCCTCAAGAGAAATCCTAGCAGTCATGCGGAGCCAGCCGGCTAAGTCCGCCGCCCACGCGCGCACCCCCCCGGCCGCCCCCAGAGCGCGTCCCGCGCCAGCCCAGTGGCCGAGCAGAGAAGACTCACCAGTGACAAGAGAACCCAGATCCCGGACATGGCTGTGCAGCAATCGCCGAAGTGAAGGAGCCTTTCCAACCGGCACCAGGGTGAGCTACGCACCCGGTGAGAAGCGCGCCCCGACTGGCCCCACCCCGCGCTCCAGCCGGCCTGGAGGAGTGCGCCACTCCCGGGTCCGCCCCGGGGGCTCACGCACTGTTACTCTCGGGACGCTTTCCTCTTTCTCCAGCAGCGTGTCTGAACACCTGCTGGTGGCTCATTTGAAAAGACCAAAAGAAACGTCCCCGGAGCCAGGGGGTGGGGGTTGGAGGAGGAAGCTTAGCTGGGGAACGCCCGGGTAGGGGAGGGTGCCTTTGATTCTGCAACCCGGCGCTTGGAGTGGGGGGTGGGGTGAGGGCCGGGGTGTTGAACGGGGAGCGGGGAAAGAGCCAGCGTTTGTTGCACAAGCGGGCATTCCCCGTTGGGAGCGTTTCCGCGATCGACTGGCATGCTCGGGTTCAGGTGAGGATCCTGAGAATGGGCCCCACGTCCTTTCTAAACTCTTCTGCAGTTTCAGCTGGGGAGGCTGGGGAGGACCGAAGTGCGGAACGCACACGTCTTGCTCGGAGCAGGAGCCTCGGCTGACTGCTGGGATTCTCAGAGCAGACCCAGTCTTGGCTCAGCTCCGTGTGCCTTGGTGTCGACGTTAGAGGCTCACAGGAACCCCGGATGAGTGTCTGTAAGTGGCAGTTCTCCAAGGCAGAGGTTCAGATGTTGTGCTGTGGGGATTCCGAAGAGGGAGGACCCTTTATATTTTATTCTCACGAGGAGTACAGAGCTCACTCCTAAGACAAATCACACAGCTCCCGCTACATGATTAAAAGCTTACAATTACTTCCCCTCCTTTGTTACTCATTATTTCCTGGCCAATTTTCTTTATAGTAAAAAAAAAAAAAGTATAGTTTAGTGCTTTGGTTAACAGCTCGAAGTCACTATTGTTTTGGAAAAGTTGATCATTCCGGTTAGCCAGTTTTGCAACAGTTTTACAGAAGAAGGTTTGTATAATGACATCCTTCATGAGCGTGATTCTGAATTAGGTGGTAAGCTGGGAACCGGTGAAATGGTCAGTATTTCTCTGGCATCCTCCACTAAGCTCTGCACCTGCGCTGTGCTGTTCATTTGCCCTTCGGCTGTATCCGGTTAGGAACACTCTCCTTTCCCCCACTTTGCCTGGCTCATCCCTCATCCATCCGGATCCCTCTCTGAAGACATTTTCAAGACATTTTCGTCTGGGAGATCTTCCTGACTCCCAACTCAAGGTTAGGAGCTGAATGCTTTCCTCCTAAATGCTTTCGCTCTCCTTGTTTTCTGCTCTGCACTCATGGCCCTGTCTTACAGGTGTGGATTTATCTGTCTCCTGCTTCACTGCCCAGCAGATTGTTAGTGCTGTTAAGAAGATCCTAGCTGACCAGTCCTGCTCCTACAATTCCCAACCCAAAACAGACACAAAAAGAAGTGAATGGTGGGAGGTTGGGGGGAGGGGTGTAGAGGGACTGGCATATGGAGACTCTGTATTATCTTTGCAACTTTTCTGTAAGTTTAAAACTATTCTGAAATTAGAAGTTTATTGAAATAAAAAATCATAAGAAGAAAGGCAAGAAAGGAGGGAGGAAGGAACAGAGGAGAGTGAGACAGTTGACAAAATCAACATCTCTTGTGAGTGAATCATAAGTCAACAACTTTCACAAATGCTTCTTCCATACCTAATATTTGCCACCTTTAGCCCAGTGAGGTGGCTAATTATTATATTTGCTTTATAAAGAATTGTAGCCGTAAAAGTTTAAGCAACATTGACAGTTTAATTAGTAAATAGTAGATCCAGGAATTAAACTTAGATATTCTTGCTCCTGAGTCATTGCTCTTTCTAACTCCCCTCAAATCTCCCCCACTCCACACGCACACCTAACCCTTAAGTTTAATGAAATAGTAGTAGGTACTTTAACATGATCAAATGATTTTTAGAAAATTCTGGGTTAATTTAAACAGGTCTCCTAATCTAAGAGTTCTCTGAGCCCTCAATACGCTAATATGCATTCTGACTGTCTAAGATGGAACTGTGATCTATACTGCTCCCCGCCTCCTTTGTCTTCTTTATGGAGTTCTTTGAAGAACACCTACTGAATGAACACCTGATGAATGCTGGTATTCTAGAAGAAACAGTTCAGACATCTTTAACAGTTTCTTTTAGTAACACATTTTTACAGGCCTTCAAGGGCAAAGAAATACAATTTTAATAATAGAGTTTCGGGCACTCCACCAGATGTGGGAGACACTTTGGACAACCATTCTGGTTTTACTCAAGCCATACCATGTAAGTTAAAGCCTGCTGCTTTACTCTAAAGAAATCCTTGCCGTTGAACTTTTCATTCTGAATAACATTTAAACATATGTCTACTTATTTTAAAAAGCTGGGAGGAAGAAAACCCCCAATACCCTTTTACCACCAAGACTTTTTATTTCTTATCCCCTAATGTTTTAAAATTTTTGTCAACAAAATTTCTCTTACTAAATAGCAGCAAATTGATTTTAATAACCCCCATCTGTAGTGCACATTCATGATTATTCTACATCTTCTCCCCTTCTTCCTGGTAACAACATCTTCCAAGCTGCCTTTGTTCCTCTTCCGTCTTCTTAGCTACTGACGTGGTTGCATTAGTCAGGGTTCTCTAGAAAAACAAAGCCAGTAGGATACATACAGATTAGCCATAGATACCGAGATTTATATATCTATCTATCTATTTTTACATAGACCTATATATAAACAGAGAGAGAGAGAAAGATGTGTCGTAAGGGATTGTTTTATGTGATTATGTAGGCTGACAACTCCAAAATGTGCCAGGTAGGCTAGCAGGCTGGAGATCCAAGGGAGAATTGCAAAGGCCATCTGCTGGCAAAATTCCCTGTCTTTCAAGAGAGGTCAGTCCTTTTCTTAGGGCCTTCAACTGATAGGACGAGGCCCACCCATACTATGGAGGGAACTGCTTTACTCAAAGTCTCCTGATTTAAATATCAATCCCTTCTAAGAAATACACCTAGAAACACCTAGAGAAGTACCAAGTCTTTGGATCCTGTGGCCTAGTCAAGGTGACACATAAGATTAATCATTACAGCAGTGGTGACACCGATCCTAGAGTCTGTGTGTGTATGTAAAACAAGGGAGAGGAGGACAAGGAACCCTACTTGGTTAATGCAACCAGCACATCACATTCTGTTGTGAGCTTTCCAGGAATCAGTGGAACACACGCTCTTCTTTTTCTTTTTTCCACTGTATTTGAAGTGGAAACACTTGCGGCACAGAACTGATGAGGTTGCTCCTGCCAGAGCTGAAGGCAGAGTCAACCCATGATGAGAAGAAATCACACCGAAGGGCCAAGCCTGATAGTGTCGCCTGAGTCTGAAATTGACTTAGTCCTGAAATCGAAAGTTAGACTACCTACAGTTACCCTTCTCAATACAGTCTCAACGTTTGTTTAAGCCACAGTCTTACAGCTAAAAAGAGCCTTAACAAGTAGGTCATAAGAGCTTATAATTGGTATAAGAAATTCTCTGTTATCAAAATTAGTTGTTACAAATAGACTGTTAAAGTTTCCGTAAGGACGATGGGTCTTAAACAAGCCTGTAGAGATGGCTGAAGATCTAGGAATGTCACTTCTGCCAAAGAATCTTTCTGTCACTAGAGGGTGCCAGATACCACATCAGCCAAATGATGAAGCAACTTGAACAAGGTTTCGATTCATTCAAATAAAAATATATTTGGGTTCTTGGGAAATGGAAGAAAGAAGAGAGAGAATCTGTGAACTGATTATCTAGGCATTTTCACCTATATGAGAACATTCTTCCAGGATTAAAGACATGGTGTATACAAAGCACCTAGCACATTCAATAAATACTACTTTATCATTGCTCTTCCTAAATGAGGTGTGTTCACAGGACAGGTTGCTAATTGGGGTCACAGTTCAGGTGGAAAGAAAGACAAGTTTAGTAGCTTACAACTGCTTTTCTATGCTACTTCCGGTATTAGTGTGATCGTGGCCTGAAGGTCCAGCCCGAGGCAAATACTTGAAGCCTCACAGACAGAGGTTGGAAAGCTTGGCCACTGGGCTATGGAGCAAGTTCCTCAATCTCCCAATGTCTTCTGCCTTGAAACCTGATATATCAGCCTACCTCTTGAGCAAGAACTTGAAAAAGACAATGGATTAAAGAGCATTTATTTGTTTAATATTTATGACTGATTTGATAGAGTCAGGTCTTCAGTTGCAGCCCACAGGATCTTTGTTGCGGCATGCAGGCCTCTCCAGTTGTGGCACACAGACTGCAGAGAACGCTGAGTAGTGCGGCATGCAGGCTTAGTGAACCTAAAGCTTGTAGGATCTTAGTTCCCAGCGTGCATGCTCAGTTGCTAAGTTGTATCTGACTCTTTGTGACCCCATGAACTAGAGCCCACCAGGTTCCTCTGTCCATGGGATTTCCTAGGCAGGGATACTGGAGTGGGATGCCATTTCTTTCTTCAGGGGATCTTCCCGACCCAGGGATTTCACTCTCATCTTCTGCATTGGCAGATGGATTCTTCACCACGGAGCCAACAGGGACGATCTAAAGACTGTAGTGGGTAAGAAGCAGAGTGCACTCTGAGCAGCAAGTGGTTGCAGAAAACAGTTCTTCTGCAGGTCCTGGTTCTGTAATCCAATTGGACACTCCTTCCCTGAGTGCCCTGAAAGCACAGATTTTCTATGAATCCACACAACAGAAGTGGGCCCATTCAAGGTGTTCCAAACCACACATGCAAAGATAGGGGCCACTTTTCAAGAAGAGCTCATCTGGGGCATATGAGATTTAAGGCTTATCTTGAGGCAATATTTCTTAAACCTCAGTCTATCTTTTGCTATTTCTGTGGTCCACTTGTACTTTCATTTAACATATATATATATATATATAGTCAACTTGCATTGTTTCTTAAGCAATTTATTTTTAAAATAACATGTTACATTGTATTCCTGCCCTGCAGATAGATTTATCAGTACCAATTTTTCTACCTTCCATATGTATGTATCAATACATGGTATTTGTTTTTCTCTCTCTGACTTACTTCTCTCTGTGCAAGGACGATGTAGAGAATGAACTTCTGGACTCAGCGAGAGTGTGTATATGTGTGTAATGAATTAGGAGATCGGGATTGACATATATATACTACCATGTGTAAAATAGCTACTGGGAAGTTATTGTATAGCACATGGAGCTTAGTTGGGCGCTCCAAGAGGGGTGGGATGGGGGTGAGTGGGAGGAACGCTCAAGAAGGTGGGGTTTATGTGTACACAGAGCTGATTCATGTTGTTGTACAGCAGAAACTAACACAAAATTGTAGAGCAATTATACTCCAATTAAAAAATAAATTAAAAAATAGATGTTATAGAAATAGAAAAAAAAAAGAGCATTACATTGTAACCGTAAATGGAAAATCAGCATTCATTACCAAAGATAGAAGGTATCTGTAAAAATAACTATTGAAACAAAATAGTTGCCCTCATACCGCTAAAAATGTTTCCCAAACCACCAGTGGTAAGGGTACTGAAAAGGCTGACATAAGGCATGAAAGTCTGTCTGTTTTAGCCTTCCTCTCTGCCTCCAAAATGACCACCAGAAAAAAGACCAGCAAACCAGGGTAATAACATCAACATCAAGAGATGTCAGAGCAGTATGGAGTCGGGGGCAGACATTGCCTCTTAAGCCCCACTTGATGCTGGAGGGATGAGATTGGGGGAAACCCTGGGAAAGGCCCAAGCCTTTCCCACTAGAACAGGCTAAGTGAGAGCTCAAGGGAGATGACGGGGGGTGAGAGATAAAGGAGGGTTACAGAGAGTCTTGTAAAGCTAGAGATAGAATGCAGAGTAAGGTATTAGAAAAGAGAGGGTAGGGGAACAGTAGTCTAATTTAGAGCACAGAGCACATGAAGAGAAGGACGTAAATGGTTTTCTGCAGAAGATGGCCTTCGTCAACTAATACAGAAGAGTGAGGACGATAGGCCCATGGATTTAAATGAGTTCTTTCACCAGCTGTGAGAAGCTTTAACCTCTTTCAGCCTCAGTTTTCTCACCTGGTAAACCTAAGCACTTTCAGCATAATGCTTTGCTTGGGAGCCAGTCTTGAATTTTGCAACTTTATTTTAACTTTTGCGGTGTGAAAATGTCCTCTCAAAACCTCTTGGATTGCTAGCACCTTTTATGGATGACAACATACACGGGCTGGTCCCAAAGTTATCACCATCAGCGTCCTTTTACTTACCTTATGCTTTTTGGAGCATAAGCGTGGCCTGCAGCCCCTCATCTTGGCATCTCCACAAAGGAAGGTATATTTTAAACCTTCTGGAAAAGAACTAAAAAGAAATCATTGGCTCAGATTTTTTGATCCCATGATCATCTGTTGTTGGCTCTGATCAGATCTCTTCATATGTGACCTGACTACTTAGACTGGCCCAAAGGTTTCATTAAGAACCAAATGCAAATTACACGCCCAGTTTGTGCCATATCCATAGTTCATTTGCTGGTTCAAGTCTATCAGATGGGTGTTGACGAAGAACAAATAACTTAGTAACTTGCTTTGTGTGTGCCTCGATGATTATGATCAAGTTGTTCAAACCCGTAATGAGACATGCCCCAAAAGGGAGGATGTCATAAATAAACGATTTAAAATAGTTTTAAATTTCTAAGCATCCTCTCCTCCTATACACACACTGCCCTCTGGGAAGGGTGGTTCTTTAGAAGACTCCTGTGTTGTAGTGGTTATGAGTCTGCTGGGGTTTGGAGAGGCTGGGACTGAGCACAGACCCAAAGCAGGCATCTTCCACTCACCTGGCTGTGAAGTCTTGGAAATTCCAAGTCATCCAAGGGGCTTATCAATACTCTAAGATTGTTCTTCAAATTTATTTTTATTTAAACCATGGAAATATGTTGGGAAAAATTGTTTAAAGAGAAGGGAACTGTGAAATCCAACAAAACTAAGGCATTATTCATAATAATATCTAATAATATTAAAATGTCTAATGCTTAATAATAACTAATCTTGACACAGACATTTGTGTGTTCTTTGCATTCATACTAACTCATTTAAGCCTCATAACTTAAAGTAGACCCTGTAGGTCCATGAAGTAGGTTCCATTAGCATCTCGTTTCAGATATAAGAAACTTGTTGCAGCAACTTAGCCAAAGTCACCTGGTTATAAAGTGGCTGAGGTGAAGTTCTAAAGTCCAGGCTGAATCTACTCTAAGGAAGTACAGAACCTAATTGTTTTGTTGTTCTGTTGAGCATATAGTTTCTGGTTGATTACTGTCATACTTTCATCATTTTATATTCTTAAATTTCAGGTTTATTTCCTAAGATTTCCTGAGCTAAGGGAACTCTTTATTGCACTGAGCGAAATCTATCAAGTAACAAATGTTGCTGTTTATATCCACTCACTCCTAATTATCATAGCTCTTGTCCATGTTAATTGGATTGAAGTGATGACTGTAATGATTAAGATTATGTGGCCATAACTCCACACACTCAGTGCTTTCCAAATATTAATATTAGAGATAAATTGCCTGGTGATTTTATTAAAATTCAGGGTTTAAAGCAGTAGGTCTGAAGTTCGAAGCATGAGATTCTGCGTTTCTCATATGCACACCCCTGATGTGGATGGCACATCTGGAGAGAAGTTGTTGGGTTGTCAAGGTAACCAGCTCAGAGAAACTAGCCATTAATCCAGCTCAGACAGATACAGACAAGCTGACCCCACTTTTAACAGTTTGACCAACTGTATTATTATTTGAGAATTTCTTTCATGGTATTAGGTAGGGAATGTAGGGACATCAACAAATTAAATAATGTCATAATAAACATATTTTTATCCAGTTTCCATTTAGCTTATTATTATACTCCCTAGGCCAAATTTTCACTTAGCAGAAACAAGCCTTCTCTGACTACATAAATAAATCCTTCCTATCAAGAATAATAAGGGGGAATAAACTTAGTTCATTTTCAAACACACTGAACTTTTATTTCCGTGAACGGAAAGAAAACTGGCCAGAAGCCTGCTGATCCCCTCAGCCAATCAGAATAATGTGACCATAAATGTCCATGAATTCCCCCCTCAGTGAATCTCTGCCTTCTTTATTTCTGTCATGGGGACATGTATCTTACAGTTCTGTGCACATACTCTGCCTTTTATGTCTTACTTTACCCTTCTCCAAAATAAATAAATAAATAAATAACCCACACTGGATCTCTCATGTAGAAATTTTTTTATGTTAAACTTAGCGCATGTACAGCTTTTGATTATCTTTCAATGATAGTATCTAACACATTTATTCAGAGCATTTAATATAAGCCAGGTACTATGCCAAGGGCTATAAATATCATGTCATTTAATGCCCATAAAAATCCTGAGAGATAGATCTTCTTATACCCATTATATAGATGCAATAATGTGAGGCCCCAAGTGGTTAAAAATCTTGCTGTAGTCACACAGGAAGTAAATTGTAGGGCTGGGATGTGAACCAAACAATTGTTTCTTGCATTTAACCATGTGCTGCCTTCTTCCTGAACCAGCGTAGATTACTTAGTCGAGCATTCACTATGCATTAGATCCTTTTACATATATTATCTCATTTAATTCTCCTACCCACATCTATGAAGAAAGACTAACTTTTCTTATTCACATAAACAGGTACCTTGATCAAGTTCCTGAGTTAAGTAAGGAACTCAAGTCTGTTGTTGTTCAGTTGCTAAGTCATGTCTGACTCTCTGTGATCCCTTGGATTGCAGCATGCTAAGCTTCCCTGTCCTCCACTGTCTCCTGGAGTTTGCTCAAGTTCATGTCCACTGAACTCAGGTTTGTCTGCCTCTAAAGTCTGTGCTCTGTCTTTACCCCATACCTTGATATTTCCTACCTTTTTTAGGAATGAGAATGTTTGAATGAGAGTTTGTCTTTTGCTTTCTTTTGATACAACACCGATCTGAAACCTTCTGATATACCAGAGCATAGACTAGGATGTATATTCTCTGGCTCTGGAGCTCTTTCTGGAAGGGTCTGAAATACCTGGCGTAACTTTTCCCTAGTCTTTTCCCCACCTCACCTGACCTTTCTCATAGTCCCCTCTTCCGGTAACCTCCTGTCTGCCACACCCATCCGCCTCCTTCTTTGCGGTCTTACTAACAATGGCGACATTGGATGGGAATTGGGGAATGTCCCTCCCTTCCCTTTCCCACGCCCTGGGATTGCATCTCTTCATTTTTCTCTCTTTTCTTTAGATACTAATCTAGCCCTCGTTCAAAACAGTTTCCTATCTACTTTTCATGTTGTGAATATAGCGAAAGTTCACAGACCACAATGACAAAGGATAAAGCATTGGCCAATTTCTTCAGAAGAAGTATTTCCTCTCTCAGCCCAATGATTGACACATTACTAACCTTTAGCCAAGAGAGTTAACTGCACTGTGAAAGTGAAAGTTCCTCCACTTTGACCCACCAAATCCCGCTTCTCACAGAAGGCAGAATTTAAAACTCTAGCCTTCCCTGACTTTCTTTACCCACTGTGACCTTTCAGAACATAGAACTTTCTCACCACTTTTGAAGAGTGAATGATATTGAGTTTCATATTTGGAATCTGTGAAAATCATCTTTAAAAACAAAACAAAACAAGACCACAGTTTGGATAAATCTATATCAACATGGAACTCTACCCCACCTTGATTCACCTTTGCCTTAAAAATGGACTTGACTTTATTGAGCACCAGATACATTGCTAAATCAGAAAACAAGTTACTTGAGAGAAGGGCATCCTTTACTACTGTGTTTGAATGGAGGCTTTGAACTTAAGGCTGGATCCCAACAATCTCCTTAATAGATGAATATCTATGAGTATCTGCTTTGTGGCATGGGCTGTACTAAGTCCTGGGAATAACAGTGAGTTGAACAGGTGTGGTCCCTGCCTTAACAGATTTTACAGAATGACTGTAATTGTCAACCCTGACTCCCCTTGCCTGAGAAACACTTATCTCCTTCCATTCACCAGACACCTCTCTTCTGGTCCTCCTCCTTCCCTGCCATCTTCACCCTGGCTATGCTTGACCTGCTGCCACTCTCCTCAGCATTTCTTCCCGTCACTTTCTCAAAGATGCCCTAAAGCTTTGGCCATCCCCTCTTTCCAGATGACTTTCAGATCTCCCCCTCCTCCTCCCACTAACGTTTACCTTCCCATTGCACTATTTTAATTCCTTCTCATTTTCCACTTATCACCTCAAACTGTTCATTTGTCTAAAATTGAGCTCTTTGATTTTCATCCAGACCACAAAGGTGAGGAAATTGAAAGCAGTGAACAAAATAAAAAAGTCAAATTTCAAGTGGAAACAGGCCCACAATTAGTCTTTGGGCCCATCTGGCCATGTTCAGAACCCACAGACTTTGCAGCTGTGTTTTGCTTCTTCTGTCTGTTAATGTCCGTAATTAGACTGGAAGCTCCTTAAAAGTAGGAAGTGTAACTTTTACTATTCCATATTGTCAGGGTCTACCCTCAAAGTCTCCTAGGCACTTTCTACCATTTGAGGAGGTATGTGGTGAAGATGCAGACACTGGAAATGGCTTTAGCTGTTTCTGTACAGACTCACCGGAAAAGGCAATGGCACTCCACTCCAGTACTCTTGCCTGGAAAATCCCATGGATGGAGGAGCCTGGTGGGCTGCAGTCCATGGGGGTGCTATGAGTCGGACACAACTGAACGACTTCACTTTGACTTTTCAGTTTCATGCATTGGAGGAGGAAATGGCAGCCCACTCCAGTGTTCTTGCCTGGAGAATCCCAGGGACGGGGGAGCCTGGTGCGCTGCCGTCTATGGGGTCGCACAGAGTCGGACACGACTGAAGTGACTTAGCAGCAGCCAGCAGCAGCACAGACTCACCTGTCACTTATTGTGGAGTCAGGACCAGATGGCTAGCAAATTATAAGGCCAAACACCTATAATCTTTTCTGATTGAGAGGTTTTAATTTTGCCCTGATTTTTGATAAAAAGATCAAAAGAATTATATCCATGCTGTCCTTCCCCACAGTTCAGGACTTTGAGACATGTTAAGATAAACCACAATGTCATCATCCACAAAAGAAAAGCAGAGGGACAGAGAGGAAGAGAGAGATGCCTCAGCTTGAGACCATTAAGTTCTCTTTCCCATTCTTTGCTAGGGTGATGACTACTACACAAACCATAGTTTAGTATCATCTCTAAATGAGTAGCATACGTTTTCAGGGGTCATGACAATTACTTGGCCAGACTTGCCTCCCTCCTGAATGCTGGCATCTTCTCCCTGAACATCTCTCTTTGAAGTCAGCAGGAATCTGGTCTGTGATGAATCACAAGGCCTGGCTTCCTTAGGAGCCAGAGCTGCCAAACCTCCCTGTTGCAGAGCCTGGAAACTCACTGACCCCATTTTTTTTCCTTTCTTCCCTTTATTCTCAGCTCTCATCTCCCTCTCTCTGCAGCCCTCCCCCTGCACACACGCCAGTGCAGCCCATTAGAACTGGCTTAATAACAGCTAAAGAATCTATCACTTGAACTGTGTTTGTTTTTCTCTGTTTTCTAGGGGTTTAGACAGTGGACCATGTTCCTAAACATAAAATAGCTTTTTTTTTTTTCCCCTCACCAGTGCCCATTTTTTGGATGCACATTTTATCCTTCTCTTTACTCCACCTCTGGTCATCCTACTTTTTCTCCATTAAGCAGAGGAGACAAGGACAGCTGGAGTAGTGTAGATGTGCATCAGGACAGGGAAAATACTGTGTCCTCAGTTCTGTTCTGGGAGATAGTCGGGTGCCATCACGTTCTCAGGACTGAGCCTTTTGTCCATAGAAACCACATTTTCCCATACTAAGTACTTTCAAAGGCTGACTTGTATTAAAGATCTTTCTCTACTGTTGTCTTATGGAAGATGGTAGAATTCTGGGTGTATTCAATGGGGTGGCCAAGTGAAAATAGATTTGATTTATTAGACAGGGTGAGGGAGAAGAGGAACTTTCTGGGTTACCCGGACAATCAACCATGGTTTGCCTTTCACGTGGTTTATAATTCTGAAGGCATAGGGAGAAAACCTTTCTACCTTCAATTCTGTTCTCAATTAACTCACATTGCTATGTGACCCCTTCATGTCCCTCAGTGAGGAAGTCATAACAAGCCAGCCTGTTCTCCCGCCCAGAGTGAAACCAAAGACCAATTCACTTCTGGGTTTTAATTCCAAAACTACGTATTGACATTTGGGCAAGTCTCTATCTTTGCATCAGCAGGAGAAAAGGAAGACTTAGGATGTAGAGATGGATAGTGTATGGGTCCTGTCCTCTAGAGAACCTAGGCAGTCAGTATAATCTGTGGGGTCATAGCATGGATTCTGGGAGTCCAATTGTGGCCCCACAACCATTAAGTAGGTGGGCATGGAGCAGTTACTTAGTTTCTCTGAACTTTTAATTTGATCTGTAAAAAGATGTTAACAGAATGTACCTTCTATGCTTGTTATGAAGGTATAGGTAATTCATGGAAAGAATGTGTTACACAGAATCTGATACATAGTCATTTCCTGATGAGTGTTAGTTCCTAATAGTGTTACTACTAGTGTAAGAAAGGCAAAATTACCAAGAGATCCAAATGGAGGAAAGGTTTCTTCTAGCTTCAGGAACCATAGAAGACTATGGAGAAGCCGCTGCTGTCAGGGGTGGCTGAATTTACCATGTGTTAGTGGGAGAGAAAAAGTAAAAGTGTTAGTCACTCAGTCACGTCCAACTCTTTGTGACCCCATGGACTGTAGCTCACCAGGCTCCTCTGTCCATGGAATTCTCCAGGCAAGAATACTCGAGTGGGTTGCCATTTCCTCCTCCAGGGGATCTTCCCAACCCAAAGATCAAGCCCTGGTGTCATGCACTGCAGGCAGATTCTTCACCATCCAAGCCACCAAGGATGCCCTAGTGGGAGAGAAGATCCACTTTAATAAAAGTCCCTTCCCAGAGTGGTCCCCGAACACCTTGAGACTTCTCAGGTCCCTGGCAGTAGGGTGAGCTGGAGCTTTAGTGTGAAAGGACTGATGACTAGATCAGCTGTCAGCACACGCCTGATGGCTTTCATTTCTTCCTTCTGTTGCAGTTGGTTCCAATAGAACAGTCTTTTCCCTCTCCTTCCACTTGCTGACAGGTCAGAGAAGGTATGCAGAAGCTTTCAGTGTACGCAGAAAACGGGCTCGTGCAGATTTGTAGAGTTCTGACAAGTGTACTGACAATTATATTTTCTCAGCTTCACCTATTTCTGTGAAATGGAGATAGAGACTTCTTTTAGCCTCTTAATAATTCAGTCCGCAAAAATATTAATTCACTTAATGCTGAAGGGGCCAGGAATAAGTTTCTCCTTTGGGATCCAGAGTGAAATATTTTGCCGCTTCAAAGGAAACTGGAGGGCATAGGCAAAACTCCCTAAACCAGAGTCAAGCATCTCAAACAATGTCAACAACATCTACAAACATTGGTATTGATTTAAGCTTTTAAGAGGGACTAATAATGTTAGATAAAGTAAATGATTATTTAATTTTCAAACCTCAACTCTTCCCAAGTGCCTGAGCATTTATGTTTTGCATTATTTAATGAAACATTTTCAAAGAATTCTATTCAACATTTTCTTCCGAACATAATTCCTTAATTATAGATATACATTTTAAAGTGTCAAGAGAACACAATTATATTAATTTAAAATTACATACATTTTAAAATAAGAATACAATGTCACTGAATTGTAATGAATTCAGCATTTGTTACAGTTAGCCGTTTTCAAATCACTGAAGAGGAAGTGTTTTTTAGCTATAAAATTACAGACTTTGAGAACCGAAATCTTTAATTAGATTGTTGTAGCCATGAGTTCTGGAAAACAAACTCACTCAGAAGAACAATGCAGATAGTGGAGTGCAGTTTATTACACCGGTGGGCCCAAGGCAGAGTCACCTCTTAGCCAAGGACCCCGACCAGTTTTTGTGAAAACCTTATATACCCTAAGTGTACTTGCTCAAACCCACCTCCCCAAATTCCTTGAAACTAGTCTGGACAAGGTAAAAGATTCGATCAAAATTAACCCGTAACTCATGTGTCACAAGACTAGATAAACAGTGGATGTTTACCAATAGGCCTGTGGTCATGTCCCAATAAACATAATGGAATCTACCATTTTGTTTTGTTACAGAGATAATTAGCATATTCTTTTAGGCAACAGAGAGTCCAAGTCCTGAGGCTCTTTTATGGGGGGAGGGTGGTGGGGGGAGTTGGGGTGTCTGGTTTTCCATTGGTATGCCATTTCTATAGACACCAGGCACAAAGTTCAGAGTCCATTGGGAGTGTGACCATGTGTGTAGCCTAATGTTTGCAGCCTGGCCTAAGATCAAGTCCAGCTCTGTCTGTTTCCTCCTTCAAGATCAGTACAATGGAAAGGTACTGATTACTTGAAAGTAATCAATGTACTTGTCTT